CGCGCCCTCGGGCGGGCGGGGCCGCTCCCGCACGGCTGCAGCGGTTCTGCCTGCAACGGGGCAAGGCCGGGCGGGGGGAGCTCACCGCCCGCGGCAGCTCCGGCCAAAAAACCACCGCTGCTCCCCCGGGTGCCTGTCCTGACTGCCAACTTGATAAAACACCGCGCCTTTTTTTTTTTTTTTTTTTCCCCCCACTTCTCAAGACCCATCTGCGATTTGCTAGTGTGGTTTGACATTGCCTAGCGTTAGTCCGAAGCCTGTGCGGAGCCTCGAGTCGCTTCACGCTTTCCAGATTAAGGATCACAAAAGCCAGCGCAGACCCAAGAGATTAAACAACTTCCATTGGAGATCAGGTCTGCAGTTAAACCAGAAAGTACAGAAACACAACTTAGAAAAGCCACATGTATCTTTTTCGTCCAGGAAACACCCTCAGTACGTCCCAAAAGCAGGCACCGAGAAGCACATGCAAAGGTCTGTGGAATCATTGTGACAGGAACCATTTACCCGTGCTTTCCACAGGGTAAAATCTGGAAAGAGAGCACTGAGATCGAGCATCCTGGCAAGCACGTCCCATATCTCCCGTGTCACATCATGACAGTTGCTCTGGCGACAATATTTCTTCTGGGAATTGGCAAGTTTACTATGTTCTTCATGTAGCCTGTCATTAATGCCCGCACTTCTCACCAGCCAAGGTCATCCTCTCTAGCAGTGTCCACACTGGGTACAATTCGAACCTTACTTAGAAAATGCTCAACAAAGCTGCGCTTTTGGAAGCCATAAAAGCCAAACTCGGATATAAGGGAGACCTATGCTCACTAAAGGCAGCCATAGGTCTCTAAGCCAATGTGAACGAATAACCAGAACAAGTAACAGCTAGACAGCGTATGTCCTCCACTTTGTATTGCTAACTGAAGCTCTGCTTTCTGCCAAGTCGCCTTCTACACCATACATCTATGCAATTTAGATGAACATGCATACGTGCACAGCTAACACCTACCCATCAGCTCAAAAAAACTTCATAAACACAGCACTAAGGTTCCAAATTGGAATTCAGAAGAGGATTGCAACGTTTCATGCAGACAAAGCAAGCTGAACTTCCAAAGACTGATGTATATGCTGTAAGACAAACAGTCTAAAAATCAGATTCCAAATCTAAGCAGCAAAGTCAGAACCACGTGCTTTTCACCTGCTCAATGCAAATATTCTCAAGGTTGCTACACTTCCATCTATATAATGAAGCAAATGTTGATGAACACTATGCCTACACTTTTTTTGTTCAAGTGCAGATGAGCATTCTCTTAGGAAACTCTCAAACAACATCAAATAGCAATTACAAAACAAAATATTTCATGTATGTACACATTATGTGTATGCTGGTGTGATTTGTGCGGTTTATTTTTATAGCTGGGTAGTCATCTGTGGTTTGTGATACATGTCCAATTTCAATCACCTGAATGACTATTTAGCCTCTGAAGTCAGTAAAACCATTTCTTCTTATTCACTATACACAGCACAGTAGAAGTTTCTAGAGGAAAAGCAGGAAGAAGTTAGAGAAGTCCCAGAAGTATACATGTAAAGCTGTAACGCTCTGAACCAGAGCTGTCTCCGGCGCAAAGAGCTCTCCTGCACTGACAAGACCTGTGAACTTTTGTGCACCACCTGATTTGAGGTGAGCCATTGCGACCAGCTTCGTGCCTTTTCTCAGCACTGACTTGTCTGGGGATCTACGTGGATCAAGTCAGATGCAACTGCACCACTCCCCACTGTGCAGTATAGGTGAGCCTTAAGGGTACTGATGGCTTCATACAGGGAGGTATTAGTTAAAAGCCACATTTTATTTGTTAGCCCTCATCCTGTTACACGGGCCAAAGTGCCTGTGTCATGAAATAAAAACTGAGGCATTAGGATGACAAAGAGTATCCGATCACACTGTGGATTAGGACCGGAGTCATGCAGTCATGCCTAGATTTCTGAAAATCAAAGGGAAATCTACCCAGATTTTCTAGAATTCTGAAAGAAGGTTGTAAGTTTTTTCATAACTGGATTTGCTCAAAACATAGCTAGCCACTGCTGCAAAGGTACTTTTTATTTTTTCACGTTTACTTGGTACATAGGTAAACTTAGTACTTTCATAACAAAACAAATAAAACAAAAATGCCGTCATTGTTCCAAGGAACCAACAGCTAGAACCATAGTATCTCTCAGCTAGTCTGAGAGATCAAAAACATTCAAGTTAATTCCAAATAGGAATAAACCCACATTTTTCTATAAAGGGCAAGTATTTCAGAATCCACTTTGGGTATGTTATGTTAGTTCATTTTGGATGAAGAAAATATTTCAGAATGAAAAATCTGATTTTTTAATTCTGAAAATGTCAAAATAGGGGGCTTCAACTTCGTCAGTGTGCACTTTGAGAGAGCTGGGCTTTTTACCAATGAAGCAGGAAGCTAAATGGAACATCCCTATTTTAAAATAACTGCCTATCTTGATGGAATCTGACCTGTTTTAGGTTGTCTAAATAAGTGCTTACTGCCCCTTAATCAGACAGCATGAGTAGGCAGGGGAGATATTTATAGATGGAGCTTTAGGAGGAGTATCTGGTATTTTGTTTACTACTTTAATTTAATTTTATAAACGAACTGTGCAGATGGTAATGAGAAGCATATGAATGGAGGTCTGTAGTGGAAAGAGAGCCAAAATGGAACTCTGACGCCAAACTTGAAGTGGAAAGTGAGCTGCCTCTTCCAGCTCACCTAGAGAAAAGGAAAGCTGTGCCCAGCAGAGTAGTGTGAATAAAGCTGTGTGCTTTAATCAGCTTATTCCCACATCAGAGGTAGGTTAGAACTATCCCCACTACAGCTGGCAGAGCTGCACAGCTACAAACTATGTGTGCCTAAGGAGAAAGAAAATAAAATCAAAACAGAAATAAGCAAGCTGAGCAGGAAAGAAAGGACAACAGTCCCAAGCAGAGAAAGAGGAAGAAACAGAGTGAACCATATAGAAACAGAATTTTAAGCTGACATGGCAAGATACCTGAGAGCCAGCAGGTATATTTGAGGTAGAAATGACACAGATGGCTTACAATGTGGTAAGACAAAAACTCATTCATGACTGATACTCATGATTGCCAAACAGATTGATACTCATGATTGCCAAACAGATTAGAAGAAATAAGGTGGCACAGGGAGATCAGAAATGGAGATGGCAGAGCTGATTTGTCAACTATTTTTATCTTCTATTTGGCAAAATGTGTGCAGTTGTAGTTCATTCTAACATAAATGCTAGTAAGGGCCTACCCAGGAGAATGCCTTTACCTCAGGAGAACACTGCGGAAACAAGATACCATTTCCCATGCATGAGGAGCACCAAAGAAGGCCAGAACTTTCCTAACAGGAGCAGCAGATCTGTGGGTGAACTCACTCAGAATTTCTTATCACAGTTCCAACTTATGAAGGATCTTTGAATCTAATACCACCCAAGCAAAAGCCTCCTGGCACACTTTGCATTAAGCTCCTTGAGAATCAAAGAGCTTTTCTAACTAAAGGAAGCACAGTTTTCACCTCCTGTGTCAACCTTTATCATTTTTTTAATGAATTGGAAATTGCTTCACGCAGTTTATATTTAACATCCCTTCGCTCCCCAAAAGCCGTCATATCGTTCCCTCAAGAACTCACTCCTCCGTATTTTCACCGTTCATCAGACTTTCAATCCCTTCAACCTGCTTCTTATTCTTCCCTTTCACAAAATCTTTGAATGAGAATAAAACCCCAACTTTTTAATAAACTTCAAAAATGTGGAACACTGCAACAATGTTTCCCCAGACTATTCTTCTATTTGAACTTAGTGAGATTTAGAATAAGAAATTAGCCAGACTTCTCTACTTAAATAATCTCCTGTGAAGCAATCAACTGATGTGAAAATGATTACCATTAGTTTTCAGCTGTAACAGTTCTGTGTAGGAACACAATAGTTCACATCTCCCAACACTATCTCAGAAAGGCCACAGGAAGATAAAGAACCTTATGAGAGCTCAATAAGTCAGTCAGCCTTTAAGCAATCATCTTTCCATAGGCATAGCCTGTTTCTTTGTGAAAAAGAAACAGTAGGATGGTTTCACAAGAAAGAAGTCAATGAAAGATCAAAGAAAATAAATTCAAAGTGATTGTTCCCTTGTGTAAACTGTTAACATAATCTTAAAAGGGGGATAAAAAGACCTTTTATTTTCAAAGCATGTCATAAATGTTGCTTAAAATGTACTTTTGCTTGTAGCAAATATCCACTATTTTAAAGCTTAACCAACAAAATTTTGAATTATTTAAAGAAGACATTGATAACATAGATTGGGCCGAAATCTTGGATTCTGTTAAAAATTATGCAGAAATTTCCCAAACAAAGCTAAGCAGAAAGGTAGAGTGTGTTATAAAATGTATTTATTTTTTATTAAAGTTTGGGAGAAATAACCTTTTTTTTTTTTCCAATACAATAAACACAACCAACCTTCTCCAATGTAAGAAGCACACTATTTTGTAAGTTTAGGAAAAAGCCAAGGAATGAAATTCAATATGTAAAGATAATAATGAACAGACACTACACTTGCTTCATATTCCCAAAATGAACACATACAGAAGGGAGGCAGAAAGAGAGCAGAGAAGAGAAGCATACATCTGGGAACCAAAATTCTGATTTTGTCTGAGCTAAGGAAAAGCACCATGGGCATTGAGCGTATTAGCCCTCCCACATCCAGCACCAAGAGGCACAAACTTTGACTCTGAAAAATCCCCATGCTACTCATGCATGGTGATATTAATTATACAGAAGCTAA